TACACACAATGGAGTATTATGCAATGATAAAGAACAATGATAAACCTGTGAAGCATTTCATAACATGGATCAAACTGGAGGATATTATGCTGAGTGAAATAAGTCAACCACAAACGGACAAATATTTTATGAGACCTCTACTATAAAAACTCATGTAAAAGTTTACACACAAAAAGCAATAATCTTTGTTGGTTATGAGGGATGGGAGGGGGTTGTGGTGGGACCAAACAGACGATAGATAAGTGGTTACTTTGGTGAAGAGTAAGACAGTACACAACACTGGGGAAGCCAGCACAACCTGTAGAAGGAAAGGTCATGGAAGCTCCATAGACACATCCAAACTCCCTGAGGAACTGAATTGCTGGGCAGAGGGCTGTGGGGACCATGGTCTTGGAGAACATCTAGGTCAACTGGCATAACACAATTTGTAAAGACAATGTTCTACATTCTACTTTGGTGAGTGGCATCTGGGGTCTTAAACGTCTGTGAGCAGCCACCTAAGATACTCTACTGGTCTCAATCCTTCGGGAGCAAGGGACAATGAAGAGAACAGGATACAAGGAAAAGATCAGTCCAAAGGACTAATGGACCACAATTACCACAGCCTCCACCAGACTGAGTCCAGTACAGCTAGATGGTGTCCGGCCACCACCACTGACTGCTCTGACCAGGATCACAACAGAGGGTCCTGGACAGAGCTGGAGAAGGATGTAGAACAAAATTCTAACTCACAAAAAAAGACCAGACTTACTGGCCTGATAGACAGTAGAAACCCTGAGAGTATGGCCCCTGGACACCCTTTTAGCTCAGTGTTGAAATCACTCCCAAGGTTGACTGTTCAGCTGGGGACTAGACAGCCCCATAAAACAAAATGGGACTAATGAGGCACAGCACTCCAGGGATAAGGACTAGAAGGCAAGAGGGGACAACAAAGCTGGTGACAGAGAACTCAAGCTTGAGAACAGGCAGTGTTGACATGTCGTGGGGTTGTTAACCATTGTCACAGGGCAATAGGTGTACTAACTGTTTAATGAGAAACTATTTGTTCTGCAAATCTTCATCTAAGGTACAAAAAAAAAAAAAAGAAGAATTATCTATGTGGGATCAAATTGATAATAGCAACTCAAAAGGTTTGATGGGAAGCCTAGGGGGCAGTGAGTTGAAGATAATGATGATGGAATAATTTGAAAAGGATAGTGAGAATAGCAGCACAACTGGAAGAATGCAATCGAAGTCACTGAATTGTACATGTAGGAATGTTTGAAATGGTGTAACTTTGGCTATGTATATTCTCACCAAAAAAAGAAAAGTTCCTCCAATGTCAAGAAGGGAGAGTGTTGGCATGTCATGGGGTTGTTAACCAATGTCATAAATATGTTTACTGACTGTTTAATGAGAAACTATCTGTACTGTAAACCTTCCTCTAAAATACAATAATAAAAAAACTGAAAGTGAAAAAAAAATTTTATTAATAAAGCATATAGTCAATTTTAGATTTTTGTTTAATGCCGTACTTTAAAATATATTTTTCTCATTGGTCTTTTAAAAATGTATGTATGTAAAAAATACTGCTTCTTATTCTTACATAATATTAATTGCCTATAACTCTTCATCTGAGGAAGGGAATAAAGAAATATACTAGGTATGATTTAGGATACAAGAAAGAAATCTTCAATGGGGAAGCAAATCTTAGCCTAACCTGCCCACTGCTGTTTTTAAAAAGTAAAAGTTAAAATAGGGTGATTTAATCATAAATCATGTCCAAACAGATGGCCTGTTATCTGAATAAACAAAGGTAAATTGCTAGGGACATCAGTTTATCTGTGTGAAGTAAATTAAACTTTTTCAAGGTATTGTTATGGATTGAATTGTGTTCCCCAAAAATACGTGTTGTAAATCCTAACCTCTATGCCTGTGGTTATAACCCCATTTGAGAATGGGTTGTCTTTGTTATGTCAATGAGGCAGGATTAGTGTAGGATGTGTCTTGAGTCAATCTCTTTTGAGATATAAAAGAGATTAAACAGGCCAGGGAGTAAGCAGAGATGGGGGAAGAGCAATGCCAAGCAACATGAAGACTGCTCAGGAGCAGAAGCTCAGAAGAGAGAAGGACCTTCCTCCAGAGCCGACAGAGACAAAGCATTCCCCTAGAGCTGGCACCCTGAATTTGGCCTTCTAGCCTCCTAAACTGTGAGAAAATAAATTTCTTTTGTTAAAGCCACCCACTTGTGGTATTTCTGTTAAAGCAGCACTAGGTAACTAAGACAAGTATCAAGTCACTACTCAGGGCATTAATGATAATTTAGTCCAATTTTATCAATGTATTATCCGTACTAATGAAGTAAGCATTTTAGGGGTCTACAGTAGGCATTTCAAGGTGCCAGGAGTGCATTTTATTCAATAAGCATTTAGTGAGTATTCCCAAAATATAGAAATACAAAAGTCCTGAAACTACTTTTAAAAAAAAAAAAAGTAGGCTATGTTGACCTGGATTACAGAAAACCAAAACCAAACACGCTGCAGTCGGGTTGATTCTGACTCATAACGACCCTAAAGGACAGAGCAGAACCGCCCCATAGAGTTTCCAAGGAGCGATTGTTGGATCTGAACCGCCAGCCTTTTGGTTAGCTGTCAAACGCTTAACCACTGCACCACCAGGGCCCCTTTCTGATTACAGAAAGGAGGAGTTATTTTCCTTTGCCACTTTACTCCTGTCACATAAATTACAGCCTGCCTCACCAAAGAAAGAGTCACAGACTCCATTAAGGTTATATATATATTAAAATATCAAAAATATTCATATAAATGAGGCTATACTGATATTTCCAAACAACATATCTTGTAAAAAACATAGATTCTAAACTTTTTGGTAATAGATATCTGATTTGCAAAGATACTTAAAAATTCCATTATAACTCCAGTGGATTCTAGGAAAATTCTTGGAAATATACTCAACATAAAAGCCCACAACTACATATCCACTATCACATTGAAGTACTGTGTATTTTGATGTAAGCTATTAACATTTATTGATATCTTAACTTTAACATTAAATAACTAGTAGAATATTAAAATGTCCCATAGTTGTATTTACCAAAAAGCCAAATTTTTCTGATATTTACTCTTAATCAGTATTTATACAATAAAAATTAACTGAGTGCCTACCATGTGCCAAGGAGCCCTGGTGATGCAGTAGTTAAGCAGTCAGGCTGCTAACCAAAAGGTGGGTGGTTTGAAACCACTAGCCACTCCGTGGGAGAAAGATGTGGCAGTCTGCTTCCATAAAGATTTACAGCCTCATAGGAAACCCTATGAGTCATAATCAACTCGACAGCAACAAGGCTTGGACCATGTGCCAGGCACTGTGCTTTAAGTGCTGGACAGCAGTTAGTCAAAGAACCATGTTCTACCTAAATGATTTTTAAGTGCTACTGCTTTTCTAGAACACAAATTTACATCCCCTCTTTTCAAAGTGTCTTAGTCTCTTAGTGCTGCTGTAACAGAAATATCACGAGTGGGTGGCTTTAATGAACAGAAATTTATTTTCTCACAGCTTAGGAGGCTGGCAGTCCAAATTCAGGGCACTGGCTCTAGGAAAAGGCTCTCTCTCTCTGTTAGCTCTAAGGGCAGGTCCTCAGTTCCTTGAAGATCTTCGTGTGGAGTGGCATCTATCTTCCCCCATTCCTGCTTCCTTGTCTCATAGCTAATCTGCTCTTTTCATATCTCAAGAGTGACTGACTTAAAACACACTCTACACTGACATAGCCTCATTAACGTAAAAAAAGAAAGTTCCATTTCCAAATGGGACTACATCCATGAGTATAGGGGTTAGGATTTATAACATATTTTGGGGAGACACAATTCAATCCATAACACAAAGTGTCTTCATATTTTTGTAGATACACTTAATCTGATAATTCTTTGAAAGATTCAATGTATGCTTCTGATTGCTAATGGATGGTTTTGTGATTTAGCTAAGTGTTAGTACAATTCATATATGATTATGTTTTTTAAGATATAAAGATGTTTGCCTCCCACAGCATTTGTTTGCTTTTCTGTATGGCAATTGCAAAATACCAAAACAAGTACAAATTACCTTAAACTTTTAAGATTTACCTGAAATGGGAATATTCTGTGAGACTGATAACTGCACATCTCCAGTTCCTGGTGGCATATCAACAACTAAATAGTCCAGTTGACCCCAATCTACCTAAAAACCAAGATGACATAAACAACATGATTGTATAACAACTGCAGTAAATAGTAAAGCAAACAAAAATAAATGTGTTAATAACAAAGTTAAAATAATAGCTATCACTTCAGGTATCAGTAGGTGCCAGGAACTGTGCTAAGGGCTAAAAAGACATGAATGAACATGAGACAGTCTCTGCCTCAGCAGACTTCTTCAAATGATAAGGTTAAATTTCCAAATGACTCACCACTCTCACCACCCCCACACACCAATGGTGAATTATCTCACAAAGGACTTTTATTCAGAACGAATCGTTTGTTTTCACTTAGCACACATTTGCCTAAGATCTGAGATTTTGTCCCTTGAATTTTGTGTTACAGCATTTCCAATGACAAATCCTAATACAATTTTTTAAATTAATTAAAATTTTTATATATTCCCCCCTCAGATAGTCTTCCCTTTGAGTTCCCATTCTTAGTGAATGGACCCAGGATCCTCTCAGTTGCATAAGGCAGAAGCTTAAAATCATACTTAACTCTCCCCTTTTTCTCACCCTTGAATCCACTCAATCAATCTTCTAAAAATCCCTCAAATGAATCCACTTCTCTCCTTCCCAATGGCCAAAAACCCCACAGAGTTGGGTTCTATTTCTAAAGCCCCCCAACTATATCTCTGCTCCAGCATTGCCTCATTCAGTCTGTTCCTAACACCACTGAAAAATGGTCCTTCAAATGAAGTCTGATTTTGTCACATTTTTGTTTAAAACTCTTCTATTGCTTTTAGAATAAGGCCTGAGCTTAAGCTCCTAACACTCTACCTGCTCTTCTTGGCTTGCTAACTCCTCCTCGTTCTTCAGATGGCAGCTTAAATTTCACTTCCTCAGGACCAAACCAGTTGCCGTGGAGTCAATTCTAATTCTTGACAACGCTACGTGTGTCAGAGTAGAACTGTGCTCCACAGACTTTTCAATCACTGATTTTTCATAATTAGATCACCAGGCCTTTCTTCTGAGGTGCCTCTGGGTGGACTCAAACCTTTAACCTTTCTGTTAGCAGCCAAGCACCAAGTGCATTAACTGTTTGCACCACCCAGGGAAACCACCTCCTCAGGAAACCTCCCCTAACTCCCAATAGTTCAGGTATGGTGTTCCTACTAGGTACGTCCCCTAATTACTCATTCATTCATTCACTCGATAAATGTTTATTGAGTACTTACTATATATTGGGCATTGGACTAGGTTTGATAATTAAGTGGTATCATGATCTTTGCCCTTACAGAACTTAGAGGGAGAGAGATATTAAACTGATAATTATCCAAATAAATACATAATTACCAGCTTCACAATACAAGAAACACAGTGGAGACAGTGAAATAAACTCTGTAAAGGAAAGAACCTAGTAAGTTTGAGAAACTGAAAAAAGAACAAATGGCTAGAGAGCAGTGAGTCAGGAGGAGGATGGCAGTCATTTACTGTTGGTTCGTGATTTGTCTTCCCACAACACTGTAAGCTGAGATAGAACACCTAGCACAGAACGGGTACACAGTAGGTGGCACAGCTTAATAAATTTTCTTTCAAGGAATAAATAAATAAATGAACACATGCATGTTTTGGGATTTTTTTTTTTAAGTGGAAACCATACTGTGTATATAATTCCATATTCTGCTTCTTGAAATTTAATAATGTGCAATAAGCTTTTATCCCATATGATCACTTTTTAAAATAAAGTTTGAATGATATTTGGTCAAATAGATTCATTCATGTATAAACACATACATTCAACACATATTTATTGGGAATCAGTTATGTGCCAGACACTGTATCAGGTGATGGTGATAGAGCAGACAGCAAAACAAGTTCCCAGTCATCATTTTAGAACTTACATATCAGAGAAAGAGACAAGTAGACGGACAAATCAGAGAGTAGTAAGTGCTATGAAAAAAACTACAATTATCCCTTACTATACAAAATTATTTGGTTCCTGATTTAGATATGCAGATGAAATAGTAAGAGATGTTTTCCAAATCTCTTCAATTCCTGAATTTCACATAGCAAGCAGTGAAGAGTTCAGATACCAAAAAAACCAAACCCAGTGCCATCAAATTGATTCTGACTCATAGAGAGTTCAGACAGCAAAGGATTTATCAAAAAAATTTCTTCGCATTTCTTTGGTTACTAAGGTCAGACAGTGAAGACCATCTGTAGAGCAGGGAGATGGAATAGGGAGTGGTGGAAGGTGCTGCTTTAGACACGGTGGTCAAAGACCTGAATGAAGTAAGAAAATGCTAATGCAGATATCATTTGAAGGAAAGCATTTGAGGCAGAAGCAATAACAAGTGCAAAGGCCCTAAGATGGGGATATGTCTGGCATATTCAAGGAACAGCCAAGAAGTTAATATGGCCTCTCTAAAATAGCACCCACGCCAATATCAATTGCTATCCTTCCTTGACTTTATTTTTCTTCAAAATATTTATCAGTACCTGAAATTATATATTCATTTGTCTTTTAGGAGTTCTATACTTCTCAAGGGAGTCCCTAGGTTGAGCAAATGGTTAACAAGCTTCTCTGCTAACCAGTAGGTTGAAGTTTGAGTCTACTCAGAGGCACTTTAGAAGAAAGGCCTGGCAATCTAGTTCCCAAAAATCAGCCACTGAAAACGCTACAGAGCACAGTTCTACTCTGATACACATGGGGTTACCATGAGTCAGAGTCAACTTGACAGCAAACACAAGTATTTTTCTTATAATTTTTTATTTTTGTTGTTGAGAATATACACAGCAGAGCATAAACCAATTCAACAATTTCTACATGTACAATTCAGTGACATTAATTACATTCTTCAAATTGTGCAGCCATTCTCACCCTCCTTTTTTGGTTTGTTCCTCCCCCATTAACAGAAACTCACTGCCCACTAAGGTTTCTATCTAATCTTTTGAGCTGCTGTTGTCAATTTGATCCCATATAGATCGATCTTAAAAGAGCACAATGCTCAATGCAGGCGTTCCTTACTAGTTAAGTTAAACGATTATTTGGTTTTTAAGAAAACTTCAGGGATATTGTGGCTTGATGTTTAAAGCTTATCTCAGGGCAATAGTTTCAGGGGCTTATCCAGCCTCCATGGCTCCAGAAAGGCTGGATCCCATGAGATTTTGAAATTCTGTTCCGTACTTTCTCCCTTTTGGTCAAGATTCTTCTATAGAATCTCTGATCAAAATATTCAGTAATGATAGCCAGGCACCAACCAGTTGTTCTGGTCTCAGGGGCAAGGAGGTAGTTGTTCATGGAGGCAATTAGGCACATGTTCCCTTTCCTCCTCCTATTCCTGACTCTCCTTCTTCCTCTATTGCTGCAGGCAAATAGAGAACAATTGTTCAGACTTGGATGGCTGCTTACAGGCTTTGAAGACCACAGACACTACGCAACAAACTAGGGGGCAGAACAGAAGCACTGAACACCTTATTAGGCCAATTAACTGGGATGTCCCATGAAACCATGACCTTAAACCTCCAAACCAAGGAACCAAATCCCATTAAGTGTTTGGTTGTATATAAGCAGCTTCAGCAGCTACTCTTTTTTTTTGTCATTGTTGTAAATATATCTATCACACAACTTTTGCCAATTCAACTTTATCCTTTATCAATGCAGTTTTTCCATTACCGTATACCAAAAATCAGTACTCTGTAAGCAATAATACTCACGTTTCTCCCTCCCTCCTAACCCCTGGTAACCACTAATAAACTTTGGTCTCTATACATTTGCCTTTTCTTGTCTTTTTATATAAGTGAGGTCATACAATGTTTGTCCTTTTGTGACTGACTTATTTCATTCAGCATAATGTCTTCATGCTCCATCCACATTGTAGCATGTATCAAGACTTCACTTCTTTTACTGGCCAAGTAGTATTCCATCATATGTACACATCACATTTTGTTTATCCATTCATCTACTGATAGGCGTTTAAGTCATTTCCACCTTTTGGTTATTGTGAATACTGCTGCAGTGAACCAAACCTGTTGCTGGTGAGTCGATTCCGATGCATAGCGACCCTATACGACAGAGTAGAACTGTCCCATAAGGTTTCCTAGGCTGTAAATCTTTACGGAAGCAGACTGCCACATCTTTCTCCCACAGAGCGGCTCGTGGGTTCAAACTACTGACCTTTTAGTTAGCAGCCGAGAGCTTAATCACTGCACCACGAGAGCTCTGCTGCAATGAACACTGGTGTACAAGTAGCTATTTCAGTCTCTGTATTCAAGTCTTTTGAATATATCTAACTAAGAGTAGATTTGCTGGGCCATATAGTAGTTGTATTTTTAGTTTTTTGAGGAACCGCCACGTTGTTTTTCACAACGGCTATATCATTTTGCATTTCCATCAGCAATGGATAAGAGTTCAAACACGGGTATTTAATGCAGATATAATGACATAATTTAAGAGATCCCAGAAATGATGAACATAAATTAGTTCATTTTCAATACAGAGGACCTTGGTTTGGAAAACAATCACCACTAAGACACACCATAACCACCATCTATGAAACTATCTCTAAAAAAAAAAGAATAATTTTCATTTTATATCCTCTGCACCAAAATGTCTGGTGCTGGCAGACTGACAAGTCTCTTTGTTTCAGAGCACATCAAATGACTGACACTAACAATTTATCACTTGTTTCCTAGCATTTAATCATATTTATCACTTTGGCTCCAATTCCTTGTTTCTTTAAAGAGAAATACTATTAAGATTCCAAGGAACTAAAAATGCTTCACTGTTGAGTCAATTAATTTCAAATGCTCTTTTAGATTGAATTTAAACTATTTGATAAAAGAACCTGGCCCAGCACCTTCATCACACATAGCAGGCCTTCCAAAAAGGCTTGCTGATTTGAATTGAACTGAACTGATCTGAAGTCAGTGTGTGAGTTCCAGTTTTACAACACTCACTAACATTGAAATATGCTGGGCTGCCAGGAAGTTCCAGTACTTTTGAAAAAAAGCCACCAAAAGCATTGATTTTATAATG